TAAACATTATTAACACAATATTAAACAGTAATATGAACAGTACACATATTTTTAAAGCATTTTTAAAGTTATTTCTGTCTTTATAATATTATACAATTTTGAACAGTAATATGAACAATTAACATATATTTTTAGCATTTTTGAAAGCTACTTATGCCTTCATAGTATTATATGTAATATTCAACAGTAATATTAACAATAAACATATTTATATTCATATATATAAACTTCAATATTTGCTACATCCGTGCTCTCATCCAGCTGCAGAGCGAAATATTCACTAGCTCTCACTTGCTCCAAAAGCTGAGGCAGCTCGCGTTAACCGAATATATTCCGCCTATGACGGAATTCTTTTGACAATGATGGGAAAATCTGAAAGCAGTCTGTCATTTTGACGGATTAGAACAAACTCAGAACAGCGCCAAAATTTCCCCGCAGCAGGGCTCCGGTGTTATGCCCTTATGTCGTTTCCAGACCTAACTATGCCGTACAAATCATTGAAATGTCTGGGAGTTTATGCTTTACGCTGTGGCGCGCTCCCGCGAGGTGCAGTGGGCATGCACAACACGGCATAACACCGGCGCTAACCCCCCTCCCCCCGTTGACTGCGGTCAACTCAGCCGTCTCTCGCATTTGCTTGGTCAAATGAGCAGCGCTTCATTTTTGAGTGCGCGATTAATAGCGTCTTTACGGTAATCGCTGAGAAGCGGCGCTGACGGTAGTACAAGTGCTTATGCTATATTTGATCAATCAATCAATGATATTTGATGAGGGATAAAATGATTTTTAGCCATAAGTTCTTTGAGTAATCATTTGTCTAACTCCACCCCTGAGTACAATAATGCATGTTTTCTGCCATCTTTGATGAGAGATAAAAGGATTTTTTGCCATAAGTTCTTAATAAAATTGGTACTGTTGGATTCAGTACTACTTGGACGACTACCAAAAGTACAATCAAGTACTTTTAATGTGTACTTTTTGAGGAATACTCGTTTAAACCCCCCCATCCTGAGTACCCTAACCAGAAATCAATTATAAACCCTATGGGAAACAAAAACACATGGCTACAGTACAAATGCCTGTTTTGGAGTCTTAAAAAGGTGCAGTAGAAGGACTTTAAATGTTGTTAAAGACACGACTATTGTAATTCAGTCAAGAGAACAGACAAGAGAATAAAGGAAAGTTAATTGTTATAATGGGTGATGTAACTTTAATTACAAGACATAATATGAGGTCATTGGTACTCATACTATACAGTGATCGTTTTGTGATCCTGGGGAATGAGCCTTGTTCAGGTAAAGTGTGCCGGAGGCTGAAGACGTTGACTGGTCCTGATGGAGAGAGGTTTTGGTCCTGATGGAGCGCAGCCTCCTGCCAGAGGGGAGGAAGGTGAATAGCTTGTGTCCAGGGTGGGAAGGGTCAGCCAATATCTTCCCGCCTCAGGGTCCTGGAGGCGTGCAGGTCGTGGAGGGATGGTAAACACCCTCTCTGCAGAGCTGATGACACGCTGCAGCCTGCCCTTATCCTTGTCTGTGGCTGCAGCGTACCAGATGGTGATGGAGGAGGTGAGGACTGACTCGATGATGGAGGTGTAGAAGTTCACCATC